ACACCACGCTGTGTGCTGGGTGCCCCTTGGGGTCTCTTGGGTCCCCCTGTAACTTTCTCTGCACGCAAGGGTCAGAGACTCCAAACCCCAAGGCTCCAGGGTCGCCAGCACTGGAACTTCGGGAGGAATCGGCCTTCAGGGGATGAATCTGGGATGGGGGCAGGCCAGTGTGTGGCTCTGCGTGGTGCTGCCCTTTCCTCAGGTCATAAAACAGGAGGCACCTGGTGCATAGCCTTGGGGAGGCTGGTGGAGGCCGCTGGTTGTGTCCGTGCTCGGCCACGGCAGTTTCGCAGGCCTGAGGGGGAGAGAGACTGGACAGCAGGAACCGGAAGTCCAGGTCCCTTTGGGGTGGGCCTTCTGCCAGCGGCGGGTGCGGGCCAGAGCCTCTGCTGCTGGCGATTTCATGGCGACTCCTGGACACGCCCTCACCTGCAGCTCGCAAGATGGAGCCTCTCAAAGCCAGTGAGACCTCGCGGTGGGGCCCTGGTCAGGGACCAGCGTCCAGCACCCCTGGAGAGCAGGTCAAGGCCCTGGGGCGGGAGACGCAGGCCCTGGGCTTGGCCTCAGAGCTGCTGAGGGCGTGTCCTGCTCTCCAGTGACCACATGGCCAGGCCGCTGCTCTTTGATGTCCCTTGTCTGCACAGTAGTGGGGAAGGTCACTGAGTGGGGCACATCCCCAGTGCAGGGAAGTCCCAAGACGCCCTTGATGCGCGTGCAGGGTTGAGCCCCTCAGAGTGGCCAGGACTGGTGAGGGCCACCTCCGGGTGTCCAGAGTGGTTCCGTGATGCCAGCGTCCAGCTCCGGCTCCCCAAGGGCGAGTCTCCAGGAGGCTGCTGAGGAGAGGCCGCCGGGGGCAGCTGTTCCAGCCAGCACCTGCAGGGCCGCAGCGGGGTTTCCACAGTGAGAGGCCTCGAGGCATGCAGTCCCAGAGAGGGCTCCGGCCTCCAAGCAGCCGCTCCTGCCAAAGAGGGTGTGTGCGGCGCGTCGCACGCTGGCGCTTGTGTGCACGTGCTTGGCAGGCTGCGGCTCTGAGGGGCTGCTCCTCAGCGGTGACCAGGGCGTCCCAGGCGGAGTGACCGAGAAGGGGGGCCCCACTGCTGCCTTCCCCGCAGGAGCCCCCCGCCTGCACACATCCTGCCGCAACCCCAAGAGTCTGGTGGATTCAGCGTTGGATATTGGCGGGGGGTGGGGAGGGGGGGGACGCAAATTCAGGTCCCAGACACTCCCTTAGGGGCTGGGTGGTCCGACCTGAGCCGTTCGGCAGCCTCTGCCCCCAGGTGAGCCACTCCCAGGACACTCAGCGCCGTCATGGGGACTTTCCTCACTTGATTCTCATTTCTGGTCTGGCAAGAGGTGGGGTGGGGGGTGGGGGTGGGAGATGAGACTCTCAGGCCGTTGCAATCAGCTTGTGGGCCTTCAGCCATTCATCCAGCAAGTTGGTTTTTTGTCATTCCCCCCAAAGCCTTGTGATATTTGGGTGACGCAGAATCAAATGGCCTGAAACCTGACTTGGGCTGGATTCAAGGGCCCCTTCCGGGGTCTGGACTGTGGGATTTTCATGGGGAGGTTGTTGTCTCATCCCGGCTTTATCACGGAGGCAGCTGTGACGGACCCAGCAGACTCTCTCGGACGACTCACCCGCTCCTCCGGGGCCTCAGTTTCTTCATTTAGAAAACGGGTAGGACTAGACGGTCCCCGGGTCCCCATGTTTACCACTTACAGGGCCACAAGCCTTCTTGCGTGCAGGGCCCGGGCCCTCTGCAGGCGGCACAGAGGCCAGGCAAAGCCCTTCCTCCGCTGGACACGCTCTGCTCTGACCCGGGACCTGCGGCCGAGCCTTTCTGAGGACCTCTCAGCTCTGCAGGAGCACCAGGGGTGGCAGCCTCGGGGCCACAGTGCCTTCCCCATGGCCGCTTCTTTCCAGAGCTGCTTGCTGGCCGATGCTGCACAGGCGGGCCGGGTAACAGCAGCGAGGCGCTCACATCTCCCGGCCCTCCTTCCGGACGCCGAAACAGCACGAAGGCTGAGGTCTAGTGAAAAACAGAATTCCAAGTTTAAATGCCTACCCCAACCGAATCAGAAGGGCGGCCTTTTCCATTTTGACTTCTAACACATGATACAAAATAGTTCATTCTAGGCCAGACCTGGGAAATGACTTACCAAAAAAAACCTAACTTGCAAAAAAAGAAAAAAAGCTATTAAAGTTTGCATATATTTTGTGTCTCTTAAATAAGTGTTGCAGGTAACAGTGGGCAGAGCAGGGGAGGCTGGAGGGCAGTGGCGAGTCCCCCCGCCGGGCCAGGACACATCTGGATCCCATTCGCAGAACGAGGAGAGTGGCCCCTAGGAAGTGACCGGCCCAGCTGACCGCCCTTTCTGTGTGGCGTTTATCCCCAAGGTTGCACGTCGCTCATCTGTTTTTATATAAATCTAGAGTATGGCATTTATCCCATATGTCCATGTGGTAAAGCGATCAGGAAAAGCGTTTTCAGTTCTGTGCTCCTGCTGCCCCATTTTAAAGGAAACCCCAAATGCAGTAAATTCACGCTAATTGGGAACTCTAGGAAGGGGTTAAAACATTACCCCTTACAAGTCGGGTGGTCATTATAAATGTTACCCAAATAAAAGCCAGAACAGGAAACCAAAAAGCAGGTCCCTAAGGCAGGCATGTGTCTTAAATGATATCATTTGTCAAGTTTCCAGCGCTCGGGGTGGAGGACGCAGAAAGGAGGCCTCTGTTAGACTGAGAATATTACATCCTCATTAGCTGGAAGGTTCCTTAAGTGCATAATGTGGGATTTTCAATTTTAGTAAGAAGCAGCTACTTGTCACTGCACTTTCACTAGATAAATACAGAACATAATGCTAAGGACCATTTCGAGAGGCTCCGTCCTACTCCTGAGAAACTCCGTTCAGATGAAATCAAATAATAACAATTTATGGGATGGATCATGTCAAACTCCTGTGTCCTTTCTTTTGAAAGTACCCCCTGAAGCGTGTGTGTGTTAATGCTGAATTCGGTCAACAGCAGAAGCCATCTTCAAGGGGACCCCAAATGAGGTTGCTGGTATTTTTTGCAGGCAAAACAAATTTGAAAGACGAGCCTGTAGGCTTTTTAGAGGCGACGGACCACGGGCTGGGAGAGCAGAGACTCCTCCCTTGTTGGCACACTGAGCCGACCCGACCCTGCCTGCCCAGCACCTCGAGGCTGGCGCAGAGGCCACCCCGGGATCTCAGACATAATTCACCCGCCACGGCCATTCCGCCCCGGCCCCGTCTCTACAACAAAGACTGACACTCCCTGAGTTATGGGGGCACTTTTTGTGACGTGCAATTCTGTGTAGGAGAAAGGTGTTCATACCATCATGCGGCTTCACCGCCCTTAAGAGGCTGGTCTCGAAAGGTAATCCCAGATGAGACGGATGCCGAACTCTGACCCTCAATTTACAAATCATTTTCCAGAAGAATAAAAAAAAAGCGTTTGAACATATTTTTGGCATTATCTGAATGGGCGGGATCTTTCATGCGTGTTTTCTAAGAATAAATGAGAACAGCGTGCACTGATTTCTTCGCTGGGGAGAGCGAGCGTGAGGTCCCCAGCTGGAATTTCATTTTAAACCTGGGTGCTTGAAAATTTCTTTATCTGGTTGAATTTCGTATATTCCTTCCAAACATAATAAATTTCTATCCTGTACCTTAAGGGATCCATCCGTTAAAATGTTGGTCTTTCATCTTTATTACCTACCCATTAAAATGAAAGAAATGGGGGACCCACTTCATTTTAGGGGAAGCAATTGAGTTGGAACGTCCTCGCTCCTCCAACCTTGACAAAGGGGGAGATGCGTCGTTGGGGTTTCCCCCGTCGTCTGGGGAGAGGCGCCGCGGCGGCCACGCGTGGGGTTGCGTGTCGGGGCAGTCCTGATGCGCTGGCTGCAGGAGGCATCTCCCTCCCCAGCCTCCCCGCCCCCAGTCAGAGTCTCTGCCCTCCCCCTTTGTCTGCTTGTCTGGAGCAGCCCGGGCCCCTTCCTGTGCGTGCTGCAGGGGCTGCATGGCGGTGAGGACGCCGCCGGCCCCGAGTCCCTGCCCCGCACACTAACCCTTGGCTCTAATGAGGACACAAAGAGCCAGCTTCGCTGCCGCCACCTTCTTCATAACTCACCGCGGCCGCGGCGCAGTAGCCTCTGGGGCGATTTGTCTTTAGTGCGGTGGTGACACTTCGGCATGATCCATAATTTGGCAGCTATTTACCGTGACATTTCCCTTCAGTGCGGCCATAACATTCAGTGAAGCCATTATTTGGTTCCATTTACCATATAAATTGTATTGTTGTGCATGCATGCTAGCAGCTACATTAGGTACCTGAAAATGAGTAAATCTTGTAAAATAGATACTAACGGCTCTTCAGCACTTGGATTCCCCGGCCCTCAGAAGGAAGGGAAGGAAAATTCAGTAAGGTCACCGGCTTCCCAGGGCCTCTAATTACCGCCGTGTTGATTAGGGGCCAGGGCACCAACCTGGCTCGGGAGCAGGATCTGGTGGGCTTTGCCTCTCGGAGGCAGGCGCCCCTGTAACCGCACCACGCAGGTGGTGTCCTGGGTGGTCGGACGTGGGCAGGCCGGCGTCGCCCGGGCCTGGCTGCAGGGGACAACATCCCTGGCTGTTTCCTGGGCGCAACCTTAGGCCACAGTGACAAGCTCTCGTCCTACCAGAAGTGAGGTGGGGACAGTGGCTGCTATTTTGTGTGTCTGTGACCAGGGAAGAGACACCCCTCCATGCCCCCAGACCCCCAAGTGCAGCGGATGTGTCACCGCTTCAGACAGCGGCCCCACCACCTGCTGCTTCGGCGCAGGAAGCGGGCGTTGGGGACCTCTGCGCCTCGAGAGCAGTTTCCATCCCAGGGTGACCTTTTTGGGGAGACCTCACCATAGCTGAAATGCACCTTTTCCCTTTCCTGGGCCAGGCTCGGTGGTTAATGCTCCGCATCTCTGCCAGTCCCTACCCCCCCACCCCCAAATCTGTGCTTTTTTTTTTATCAAAGCCTTCAACACTTTGGGAAGAGAAGAATGCCCTGTTCCGCAAGTTTTTTTTGCCATGAGGATTGTGCATAAAAGTCACAAAATAGCAGCTATGGCTTTGAAATAGGTCTGTGTTCACGTAATCATTTTCCTAATAATCCAATGAAATCGAGGTTCTGGGGGGAATTTCTCCAAATTTCTATTTTGATAGTTGCTAGTGACTTAGAAAAAGGGTGTGACAGCTCAGATGTCCGGAGGATGTGATCTCTGAACATGGTGACTTTTGCTGTATCTCTCATTTATCAACTACTTATTAGCATAGGACCAGACTCTCCCCAAACAAAGAATTTGTGAACTGTTTTCAAGACCTATTTTAAAATCTCATCCAGCTGAAGACATACTGATTTGATCAGATCTTGCATAAGGAATTAATTTGGTTTCCTAGAACAATAAAATCTGGAAGGAGACTGTCCATGACTGAACCATTGAATGTGAAGGTCCTACCTCGAGCTGTGGAGGGAATTTTATTAGCACGTTGTTTTTCAGGGAAAAAGGCCAAATAACAACAACAACAAAAAAAAAAAAAAAAAAAAAGGAAAGAAAGAGAGAAACCTATTCATTAACACTTTACTTTTGTTTTAAGAAATATTATACCCATTAGCAACTAAAAATAAATGGATTTGAGTAATTCTGAGGCATAAAGTGCCTATTCTCTTTCTCCTTTGATTTATGTCATTGTTCTGTTTTTACAGCTTGCTGTTGACAGAATGAGGTAATTCAACTACGATTTTTCCAGTGTTTTTTCCCATGTACATGTAATCGACAGCCCGGAAGACGGACTCCAGGCCTGCAAACCTGCCCTGGGCAGATGCATGTCCAAGGTCCACCTCACAGGCCAGCTCTCCCCGTGCACACATCTGCAGCAAGTGCTCCATGGCTGCCTGGTACTTAGAGAGGTAATGGTTCAAGAAGAAGCCCTGGACACTGGCTGACTTCTTCAGCAGCTTGGCTGGCAGGGCCCCAGCCTTCACCGGAGCAAGGCCCGCAGGGGTCTGGTAGCCAGAGATAAAGCCGATGACGATGAGGCGCCCATGGGTGGCCAGGGCGTCCACCGCCAAGTCAAACATGGCGCCCCCCACAGACTCATACACCACATCCACACCTTGGGGGTACTCGCGCTTCAGGACAGCGTCCACGGGCTCGGTGTTATAGTTGATGGGGCGGTCGCAGCCCAGGGTTCTCAGAAAAGCCGCCTTGCCCTCCGAGGAGCAGGTCCCGATGACGTGGCACTTGGCCTTCTTGGCCAGCTGCACGGCAAACTGGCCGGTGCCCCCCGCGGCTGCGGTCACCAAAACCTTCTTGCCTTCCGACAGGGCTGCCAGCTCGTTCAGGCTGATGTAGGCCGTGGTGCCACTTATCAGCAGGGCAAGGTACTCGGGCTGCGCTGCGGGCACCGGCGTGGCAGCCCTGGCAGGCACAACTGTGTACTCAGCGAAGGCGCCAGGGGCCATGTAGGCCACTGCCTGGCCCACAGAGTAGCTGGCGCTGGCAGAGAGGCCTAAGGCCACCACCTCGCCCACGCCTTCGAAGCCCACGTCAAAGGGGGGCTTGACCGAGGGGTCGTATCGGCCAGCTGAGTAGTTGATGTCTGAGGCGTTAACACCGACAAATCTGGAAGGAAACAGACCAACAGACACGCATGTTATGATGCTTCCTTTGTCGGCCTTTCTGTTCCGGTGAGAAAAATTCCTCTAATTCCAGTGGCTGTGTGTGCTGGACCTTCCACAGTGCCCGAAAAATCAGGCCTGCGGTTCAGTTAAAAAAGGAAATGAGACAAATATTAGCTCAACGGGAAAATGCAATCAGAGTTTTGGTATGTTTTTATCTTAAATCTATCGCCTTAAACGTCAATTTAGTTTTCACGCACCACGAGTGTGTCTCCTCCTTCTTCCAAAAGGAGAAATAAACCAAAACCAAAACCAAAAAAAAAAAAGGGCCTCATTATACCAAACTTCACCGTAGCTGGGAGTTGAAAATTAATTGGCCTCTTAACAAAGATGTTAAAAACAACAGCAGATAAAATACATTCAAAGAAGAAGACGTGTATTGATTCTGGCAACAATTTAACACTTGGGATAATAATAGTAATGACAATGATAATATTCAAGATTGATGTAACAAGCAAGGTCATCGGTGGTTGTGAGCTCCTGCAGGGTTGCCTGAAACATCGCGAGGGGCGGCTGAAACACAGCCCCGCTCCGATGTAACTAGGACCGGCCTGCAAATATGCATTTTGATTAATTGACCAAAAATTGTCTCATACGGGTAGAGAGATTTTTATGGAACATTCAACATTTTACAGTCCTTTTCAGATGAAAAGGAAAGCAAATCGCCACTATATTTTTCCCCAACAAGAAGCAGAGACATAACTTGATTAATACCAGATGACTATTTTCGCTTTGGTGTCCAGAGTCAATTTAATTGTGAGGCGAGTATTTTTACCAGCTTTTTTTCATCTCAGGCTACCTCAGAACACAAATATCCTGATACGCAAGGAAAAAAAGCTGCCCGCTAAGAGTCGGGGTGGTGGTTTCGACACGTAATGGAGACCCTGCAGACGTCATTTCCGCCTGTGATGGAATGAGAGGGTGATGCTGCCTGGTGGCAGGAGGGGAGCTGGTAAGTAGGTCATTTTAAAATAATTCACTTTTAACGCACTTCACGCGCCCTGTGCCGGGAGTCACTTCCACGGTACGAGAGAGCACTTTGCACTTACAAGTGTTCCCTTGTGACCCCCGCGTCTACACACTGACCCCTCTCTACACAGAAATAAGAAATAAGAAGCAGGAAACAATTTCTTTCGGTCACGTCAAGCTGCCTTCAGAAGTCGGCAGGCCTCAGTCCAACAGCAGCTGCAGAAGGCCATGCCCACAAACGATTCGCAATCGTGAGGAGTGGGGAAAACGTGGGTTTATTTTATCTTTTTGGCTGGTTTCTCGTTTGACATTTACCATCAAGATGGCTACACCCAGCTGGTGGGGGTGTGCTGGCTTTCCTTGCACCATCCACGATTCTCAAGGCCTGGTCTCCCCCCTGTCTGGAGAGCCTGTTTCTGGCCTTCAGGGGCGGCCCTGGTAGGCTGTGAGGCAAACTCCGCCCTCCCTCCGCCAGCTCTGGGCCTGGTCCCCCTGCCCTTGCCAGCCCTTCCCTCCCCCTGGCCTCTCGTCCCCCCTGGTGTATCTGCTGTCCCAACTGGAGAGGCCCTTTCTCCAGGCGAGGCCCTCACTGCCGCCCGCCTTGGAGGGGGCGCCTGGGGGGCCGCAGGTCCTCCCACCCCAGCCTGGAGAGGGCGCGCCCCTGGGGGGCTGGGAGCAGGATGGAGGCGCGCAGGGAGCCCCAGGCCCCTCCGCCCGGCTGGGCTGTGGCTGCCTCCCCGGGGAGTGGGGCCGCATGGCTGGACTCGAGTCTGGGGAAAAAATGAAGGGAGCGGGCACAGGTGCCAAGGGGCGCCGAGGGAGCCGAGGGCTGGGAAGGAGCCGGGTTCCGCCCAGAGCCGGGCGCTGCGCAGGCCCCCGCAGCCCGCCTGGCCGCCGGGGTTTTGCTTTAAAAACCCAAGCGAAGCTCGCGGTGGGCGCGCCCAGCCCCGCGCGGTGGCCGGAGACCCGGGCCGGCGCAGCCCCCCGGCCTGGGCCTGGCTCTCCCGGGGCGCCCCGGCAGCCTGGGGCGCCAGCAGCCAGCGCGGGGCGAGCCGGGTCCCCTCGGAAGCGCCCCTGGGGCTGCCCCGGCCCTGCCGCCGCGGTGGGGCGCGGGCGGGGCCTCGGCCCCCGGGGCTGCGCGCGCGCGCCCGGGCCTGGCCGTGACCTCGGCCCCCGGGACCTGGCCGTGACCTCGGCCCCCGGTCGGGCGAGGTGGGCGAGGGCGGCGCCTCCAGCCCGTGTGGGCCGCGGAGCCGCCGCGCGCGGGGTCAGCCAAGTTCGCAGGAGCCCCGAGGTCCAGCGCCGGGGCCAGAGGCCGCCCCGCCGCGCCGGTGACCTTGGCCTCCCCTGCGCCCCGGCGCCCGCCTCGCCTCGCCTCGCCTCGCCTCGCCTCGCGGCCGGCTTCGGGGGGCGCCCGGAGGACCAGGACGGCGTCGCGGCTGGCGGGGCGCCCGGGCCCCTCTGCTGGGCGCGCCTCGCCCTCGCCGGGAGCTCCGGCCTCTCCCCAGCGCCGGGCTGTGACTCGGGGGCGCGGGGGCCCGCGGCCACCCGGTCCCCACCTGGGCCGGCAGAGGCGGGGAGGCTGCGCGCCGCGCCGTCCACCCCCCAGAAACAGGCTCCAGGCGGCAGGCGCCGGGAGAGGCCTCGCCGGGGCGCGGGCCGGGCAGGGAGCGGAGGAGAGCCAGGGCGCGCGGGCCTGCAGCCTTGGGGACAGCCCGCTCCCCTGGGGTTCAGACGTGTGCGGGGATGGCTGCGGGGCTCAGCGACTGCGGAGGAGCAACTGGAAAGACTAGAATGCAGGAATTGTAGGGAAAAGAATGGGATGGGAAGGGTGGGCGGGCCTCCCCCAACACAGGCGCGCCAGGCCAGGGCCGCCGGCTCTGTGCACGAGACCGTGCTGGACCCTGTGGTCACGTCTGCTGCGAGCTGGGGCCGGCGGGGGGGGGGGGGGGGCTGGAACAGAGACCAAAGGGGAAGAAGGCTCCAGCACAGAGCACGCCTGCGACAGGGGGGCGCAGCAAAGTCTGCAAAATCAGACCTTCCTTTAAAAGGAAGCCAGAAAGAAAGAAGAAAGAGAAGAAAATAGAGAGAGAAAGAAAGGAAGAGAGAGCGAGCCAGACCCCCCTTGGCCTGGAGTCAGCAGAAACTCCGTCACCCTCCTGTGAGCAATAAACCGTTTATCGAAAACGCCTTCCCCACCCCCACCCCCTTTGCCCTTCCTACGAATTCTTTGCTCCATTATCTTACACTTAGGCAGAAAATCGTTAGAAATATTTGGAAACGAAATCATGCGTCCCACCTGACGAAGAAACCTAAAAATAGCGCCCACCCGGAGGTGGCCGGTTCCGTCTCCCGTGGCTTCGGGGCGCTGGGCGCGCAGGCTGGCCCTGGGCGCGGGGCGCAGGAGGGTGGGCTCTGGAGAAAGGGGCAGCAGCTACTCCCTCCGTGGGGATTTTACCCTCCCCCTTGCCCCTTCCTAGATGCTAGATGTGATCACCCCCATCAGTGTCTAGCCCTGCTCCCCGTAATAAAGAATTTGTATTTTCTGGGGAGATGGAAGGAGATGTGCAAACGCGTCCTTGAAAGAAAAAGTCAGACAAGCACGATTAAAACCTCCAAAAACACCTTTCCCAGCAAGAGAACCGAACCGGGGCTCCCCCGCCCGCTCCCAGGCATATTTTGCTGTGCCAAGGAAGAGAGGTGCTTGCGTGTTATCCTCATTCAGTCAACACGGGCGGGGGAGATGCGACCTAGGATTAAAGCTGCAGTTAATTATTTATTCAGCCTCTATTCTTAAAAAAAAAAAAAAAATCCCGTAAATGCCCCCTCCTCTAACATTGTTTGCAAGAAAAAAGGGCCAAGCTACATGGGGGAGCTAGAGGTAGATTTTCTGCGAGCAGGACCCAGGAGGCAAAGCTCGGCCCTCCAGGCACGAAGACTGGCTGCCTTCTCTCCCTGCGGTGGATTTCAAGGTCCAAGGTCGAGGTCAAATTCATATAAATATGCTATTTATGTCTGAGAAAGGGGTTCTTGACATATGTGGAGGGAAAATAGGGGCATGGAGCCCTACAGCTCCCCAAACTCAGGAGCTCCAAATGTAGCAGCCGCTCCCCAGAGCTCTGCCCACCAAATTCAGGACCAGGACTCGCCGCCCAGCCCGGTGCAGGCAGGGCCAGCAAAGCCAGGCAGCCGTGAGGGTGGGGGACAGCGGCGCGGGAGGGTGGCCCAGCAGCGGATCCTGGCTGGCTGGCAGGCAGGGGCCCGGGACACTGAGCTGCGGTGCCAGCCGGGCAGCCTCCGGGGCCCAGTCTCTGGTTCCGCTGGGGGCTGCTGCTGGTGCTCTCCCTCCACACCTCCCCACCGCCCCAGCCCCCTCGGCTCACTGCCTGCCTCTGGGAGGGACTGCACCCCAGCAGCTGTACTTGGATCCGCGTTCCCACTCAATGGGGTGCTTCTTGAGAAGGAGCGAGAAGGCAGAAAAGACCTGTGTGGAACTTTCTGTCTGGCAAAACTCGGAGGCTTCAGGCTGGCGTGTGGAACTTCAGCCAGCGTGGCGCGTGGTTCCATGTTCTGCGTGGACACAAAGTCCTCTCTTCACTAGGCGGGCGCGAGTTCTCTCCCAAGAGCTCCAGCCTCTGGCAGTGCAGAAACCCTCAACAGCCCTTTGGACTCGGAGAACTTTCAAAATCCGCAGCAGCTCCCACGGCTCAGGCACCCGCCCCCCGCGCTCCACTCCAGCCCCCTCTGCATTTGCAGGCTGCCGACAGACTCCCCAAAGTTTTGTATCTTGCGCAGAGTTCTCCCATCGCACAGTCTGGCGGGAGGCAGGGAGGCTCTCCGACAGAGTCACGCAGCCTCCCGCTCCTGAGGTGGGGCGCGCTCTGTCCCTGCGTCCCGCGGTGAGCTGAGAGTCCTTTCGGGCACACACTTTTTAACAGTTACAAGCGGAGCTTCCTCCTGCTGGCCAAGGCACCCCGAAACCGGCGGCCCCGGCACGGGAGTTAGCAGGCGCCGGTCCTGCTCTAGCGAAGCGGGAGAAGAGCGGGGTCCCCGCCGGCGCGGCGCGGCGTGGGGACCCGGGCGCAGAGGCCCGTGCGCGAGCGAGGCCCGGCGGCTCCTGCCGCTTCACCAGCGAGTAGCGACTGGTGCGGCGGACACCCGTGAAGGTGGGTCGTGTGGGGTGGACGGGCCGGGCCGGGCAGTGGCCCGCGTGTGAGCGAAGGTCGCGCCACGAGCGGCAAATGCAGCCGCGGCCTCCGGCGGCCCGGCCCGGCCGCCCGGGTCACGCGCCCGTCGCTGCGCCCCGAGGCGGGGACCACAGCCGCGCCGCCGGCACGCAGACGCCCCGGCGGGGCGCGCACCCACACCCGCGGGCGCGGGCCCCGCTGGAGAGCCGGCCGGCCCGGCCCCGGCTCCGAGCGCGCGGCCCAGACGCCGCGGCGGGGCCCGGGCTGTCCCCGCGCCACCCTCCAGATTCCGTGCGCGCAGGGTCTGGGGGCGCGGGCGGGCCGGGCGGGGAGCCGCGCCGTCTGGGTCGCGTCGTTTTATTTCGGGGGGGAGCGGAGGCAGGGCTGGGGGAGGGGAGGGGAGCCCCAAATCGGAAAAATCCAGTTCCGAGGCCGTTCGGCGGCCGCGGCCGCTCGCGCCGCCAGCAGTCGCCCGGCGCCCGCCCGCGCCAGATGGCGGCGGGTGCCCCTCGCCGGGGCGGGCTGGCCTGGGCGCCCGGGCGCGCCCGGGGGACGCGGGCAGGCCCGGGACGGCCGGGGCGGGGGGCGCGCGCCGGGCTCACCGGTTGCGGACGAGGAGGTCTCCGTCCCCGGGGAGCGGCACCGGGCAGTCCCGGCGCAGGGCGACGGCCTCGCGGAAGTCGGGGCTCCGCCGGGTGGCCACCAGCTTCTGCATGGCGCGCGGGATGGCGGCGCCCTGGAAGTCCAGGAAGTGGCGCGCGTACGACATGTCCACGATGGCCCGCGCCCCCGCGCGCGCCAGCCGCCGCATGGCCCGCTCCGCCCGCGCTCCGCGCCGCCGCCGCCCCGGAGGCTCCAGCCCGGGCCGCTCGGCTCGGCGCAGTCGGCGCGGGCGGGCGGGCGGGCGGAGCG